CCTGGGGACCTCCCCGGCCTTGGCACGCGCTGGGCCGGGGTGCGTGTGAGGGGAGCCGAAACTGGCTTTGACTTGTCACCGACTCCCACCCACACACCCCAAGCAGGGTAAGGAGGAAGCCCCCTCCCCACCAGGGAGGCTGGAGTCGGGGTGGGGGTGGGGTGCCCCACCTCTGGCCCACCTCTTGTTGTCCACCTGGGGCGGGGATGGCTGGTCGCTGCTAAAGAGCCCAATACCCAGGACCTGCCGAGTAGGGCTTTGCCGGGTGTGTGGTCACTTCCGACCCCCCAGCTTAGGGGTTCTGGCGGCCGGCGCCAGGTTGCTGGCCTTCTGGGGCCTCGGCTTCCCGGCCTGGGACTCTTCCCTGTGAGTGTGTGACCCTGAAGTGTTTTCCTGCCTGGACAGGACTGTCTACCCCTCCCCCAGATCTATGGTGTCGCCCAAGACTTCGTCTGAGCAATTCTGGGGTTCCTGCACCTGAAACTTGGGGTGGGAGCAATGACAAGGCCTTCAGACCACGGAAGGGGGCTACCGCTGGCCCCTCAGCCCTAGCCCCAGCCTCAGGGGCACCGGGGCGCCTGCAGGGGGAGGGGAGGGGACGGGAAGCAGGGCGGGGCTAGGCTGCCGCTGCCAGCTCCGTCACCAGCCCCACAGAGGCTCTGGCCATATAAGGAGAGGAGCTCCGGAAGCCAGGTTCCCTCCCAGGGAGGCCTCACTGACTCCGCGGCAGCCGGTGGGGAGGGGCGCCCTTCCCTTGTTGCCCCAATGCTGGAAGATAGGGGTGGTCCGGGGCCTTTGATGGTACTTGGGGACTGCAATGCAACACCCCCACCCCACCCCCTACCTCAATCACACACTTCATCCATCCCCTGCAGTTAGTCCCTCTCACTGCAAACTCATGCCCCTTACTCATGCCCCCCACGCTGTAGCAGGCCCACAGGTCCCACACTCACTGAGCCCTCCCCTCTTAACTCCTCCCTGGAGCCCTACCCTTCCCCCCTCATCCAATCTGTCTCTCCCTCTGGGCATTCGCCCCTTGGGGAAGTGTCTTTCTGGCAAAATCTCCCAGAAAATCGCTCTCCTGGCATGTCTAATTAAAGGCGAGTGGGTGGGCAGAGAAGAGGAAGGAGGGGTGGGGGGTGGGGGGCGGTAGAGCTGAGAAGCTGCCAGAATTGGGCCTGGAGGTTTCCCTGCTGTGGAATCCCGCTGGCCTAGTGAATTTCCCGGGGGAGCCTTGAGCTGCAGGCTGGCATGTGCCAGTGCCTGAGTTGCATGCATGTGTTGTATGCATATGCATGCACACCTATGTGTGTGTACATGTGCATGTGTGCCTGGGTGCATGTGTACACATGGATAGGTGTATATGTTGGGTGGTGTGTTGCATGTGTGTGCACGTGTGTTGTGTGCACCCATATATTGTGTGCCTCGTGTGCACGTGTGTACATGTGTGTTGTGTCCACACGTGTGCCTCTGTGTGTGTGCATGCATGAG